CTCATCCGAGTCGCCCGTGTCCGCCGGGCGCGGCGCCCAGGCAGGAGAGAAGATCACCAGGGGCGGGTCCATGCCAAAGTCCCGGTCGATGGATCCGCCCGGCGGGCGGTGTCTTCTTGAAGCCAGTCCGCGTGGCGGCGGGCCAGGCGGAACATCGAATGCAACGTGTCGCCCGCCGCAGGCGTGCAGCGGATCACCTCGGCGGAATGTGGGCGCCGCCAGCCCTCCAGGTAGGGATCCACGAACTCGTGAGTCGGGGCGGAAAAGCCCAGCTCGGGCGGGCGCGAAGGTACCACCGAAAGTTCCGCGATGGGCGAGCCACGGCGAGCAGGTGTTCCCACGCCGACCGCCCATGTCCCCAAATCGGCGTTGGAGAAGAACGCGGGCACTTGGGCGGGCTGGGCCAGGGCGGCGACGGCTGAGCAGCTCGACCGACGGAGGGCACAGACATGCAAGAGAGTGCCAACTAACTCTCGAGACGCCCTCCGGACCCTCTACCCACCCTCTACCTTTCCCTTTTCACTCGGAAGTCGAGCCGCCCACTGCCTCCCAGGAGCCAGGAGGACCTGAGTCCACACTGGCCCTCTACTGAGCCCGCAGCCCCAGGGGCGGCGGGAATCCTAAAGAACTGGCGGCCCATAAGGCCAGCCACAGCCTCGGGCTCGCCAACTCGCCCGGTCGCATTTCTGCTCCGTGGGGTCGGGGCGGTGGACCCGCTGGTCTTTTCCAAGTAAATAGGGGCAGGGCCGGTGCCCCCGCCAGGCTGAGACACTAGTGCCCACGATGGGGCGGATGGTGCCAAGGTCAGCGGCGCGGCCTGGGTGTACCTCTCAATGGCGCGGGACGACCAACACCCCAACAACTGGATCACCGCCAGTGGGACGCCCCGTGCGCCCCCGCCACGCGGCAGGCATGGCCACCAAAGACGGGCCGTTCCACTCTGGCCGGGTCCTTCCAGCTGACCTCGAGGCCGGCTGCGTCCACGACACCGACTCCCTGACGCCGCCGAGCCCGAGAATAATGGCGCCGAAGGCGGGCGAGCACAGGGGGTGCGTGGCCAGAGCGCCGGGTGAGCACCCGCTCACCCCCTTGGGCGGTCTTGTGGAGCGGGAGCTCCACCATCACCAGGTATCACCAGCTCCTTGTTGAGCACCACATCTCCGACTAGCACCCCGGCGATTTCGATCTCCCGGAGCATGAACCAGGTAGCCAGCACCAGGACGCCGGTGGCGTGAGAGACGACGGTCGGGTCGAAGGCGAGGTCGCAACGGTATGCCCAGGTCGGCGAGGGGGAAGGCTTCCTTGAGGCGCATCCCAGGAGGCCCCGCACGATGGACTTCACCGCCCTGTTGGCCAGGCGGCGCAGGACCGGCGAGACCTCCTGTCCGAGGTCGTGCTCCTGGTGACGGAAGGCGGCCAGGAAGTACTTGTTGGCGCTCCGATAGCCGCCCTTCTTGAAGGCCGCCCCCAGAGCCTCCATGGTCTCGGCGGAAACAGGCCAGGGATCGACCTTGCCCTGGTAAGACAGGGCCATCCATGTCTTCAGCCTGGACGCGTAGGGCCCTTTGGAGGTCTCCGCCAAATAGCCGTCGCGGAGCTCCTCAACCGATCGCTTGCGGTTCTCCGGCCGCAGAGCGTCCAAGGCCGCTTGCAGGCTGGCGCGCACATGCGCGCGCCGTCGAGGGACGTCGGGCCGGCCAGGCGAGTGGGCCGCCTGAATCACCGCCAGCTCGGTCACCACCGCCGGTGGCGGTGGGGCGGCCAGTAGCGCCTCAATGGCGGTCGGCGCTATGCCCGCCTCAGCCAAGGCGTCGAGGCGCGAGAAGAGGTCGGGGATACACTTCACCCCCGCCGCCCTAATGGCCGGCAAATGTTCGGTCTGGCCAGCCCGAGCCGAGCCCTGCGACTTGAACAGTCGAATCTGAGCTTAGGGAGGGGGGGGGGAAGCAAGGCACTCAGAAAGACTCCCCTCCTTTTTGGCGCGCCCGCGAAGGCGGTGAGGAGTGCAAAAAGGGCGGACAGCTAAGTGAGACGGCCGCCACGGCGAGGATGTAGAAGAGGGCGAGGTCGATAAAGCCACGCCCAAAGGGCCCCACCAAGATGCCCTCAGCGATCGCGGTCGCCCGGTCGATCTGGCGAGCACTGCGAGCACTGGTGGTGAGTGTGCGGCTGCCCGGTGACGGGCGGGTAGCTGATAGGGACAACGGGCGCCCGGTCTGTACCAGGGGCCGGGGCACTTGGCGAAGCACCAGCCGATGTAGCGCGTGCCGTGTCCCGCGGGAGCTTGCCGCCCTGGACGCCCGGCGGGAGGCCGCGCAGAAAGATGCCCACGACGGTGGAATTAGGCGGCAGGTGGTAGCTGCCGTCTGCCACACGCCGTTCCAATGCCTCAGCATCCGCCTAACTGTTGGCGGCCGCCCCGTCGAGGCCCAGCGGGAGCTCCTCGTCGAAAAAGTCCGCCTCAGGGCGAATCTTCGGCTGGCGATAGCGTTCCCACCTCTCCTTGGCCGAGATGGGGCGCCGTCGTGGCGATGTCCCGTAGCCGCTGCGGCCCGGGACCCTGGGCGCTTCACTGGGCGGGACGCCCGCGCATGCCGAGGACGCCCCCGACGGAGCCGCCGCCGGAAACGATGAAGAAGCCCTCGAAGGAGGGGCTGGGGCGCCCGCTGAGGCACTGGGCGGGTGATCCCGCTCCGGATCCGCCCCCCGCTGCGGGACGGCGGGGCGGGGGCGGCTGCAGCGACATCTCCCGCAGCTCACGTTGGATGCGGAGCTGCAGCATCTCGTCGTAGGTGACGTCAAAGCCCATGGGCCCCATGCCGGAGGGCGTTCTCTTGATCAATCGCCCGACGCTGCCGCTCGTAGGGCGTGATCTCGTCCACGGCGGGCGCGGCCGCAGGCGGCGGGGCGGGCGCATTCTTGACGACCGTCACGCCCGCTGAGGGCGGGGCCGAGCCGAACATCCCAGAGGGTTGGCGCTTGGGCGTCGCCTGGTCGCCCGCCCCCGCGGCCGGCTCCAACACCAGCGGAGGTGGCGGGGCTTTGGCGAAGGCCTTGACCTTGGGAGCCGCCCCTTGAGCCACCAGCTCCGGCGGTGGCGACTTCATCTGCGGCTTGGCGCCCTTGGGCTTGGCCGGCGTGTCCGCCCGAAGAAGACGAGGTAGCCGGGGCCGGAGTCGATGGAGGCGGAGGGGGCGGCGCCATCCCCTGCTGCTTGGGCCACCGGACCGTGGCGCCTGCCGGGCAATATGCCCCGAAGGGCATGGGAAAAGTCGTGTCTGGCGGGGCCTTGGGCACGGCGCCGTCGAAGTCGGCGAGGTAGGCGTCCAGCCCAGTGTCGCCCTCCAAGCCCTCGTCGTCATCCTCCGGGACGGGCAGGCGGAGGCGTCGATGTGCCCTATGCCCGGCGGGGCGTCATCGTGGTGGATCGCCGCCTCCTGATCCAGCCAGTACTTGCGGGCTTCCTCGGCGGAGGGCCCGGGCACCACAGACGACGATGCCCCAGATGGGGCCAGCCAAGCCTTGGCGGGCATTGCGCCCGGCGGCGCCCCCGAAACCGCCGAAGGGACCGGCAAGGCCGTGCTCGCGGGTGGCGTAGTCCCTGATGAAGACGGCGGCGACGAAATAGGAGGCGTCGGAGGCCCGGCTGCGGGCTGCGCCGCCGAGCAGGCTGCCATCAGGCGAGCCAAATCGTCCACCGACAAGGCGTTGACGGCCGCGGTGAGCTCCCCGTTGGTGGCCCCAGCCACAAAGGTGGCGATGAACACATGGGCCTCAGTCTGAGTGCCCACTGCCACCCCGCCAGTGGCGGGAGGAGCGCCCAAGATGGGCGAAGCGAAGCCGGCGATCACTTCATCGTCCTCGTCGCCCGACTGGGCGCCCACAGACGAGGGCGGAACCCAGTCGAGAACCTCGGCCTCAGTGGCCGCTGCGGCCGCCCGGGCGGCATGGGCGGCGTCGGCGGCTGCTCCAGTCGAGGACATGACCAGAACACGGCGAGGCGAAAGGACGAGGGGAAACTCAAAAGAAGGCGATCGAGCCGGCAAGCTGCGGTTCGATCGCTGACGCTTGTTCCTACACGCACACGTGCGTTACACCGCAACTGTCTTGGACTGGCTCAGCTTCAGATATCCATGGCAGACACTTTGCTTTTTGTAACCTCGCCTTGGCCTGCAGTTCCATCTTGTCCGCTTCGGCACGTGCAACGGCCGTGGAGCAGATCTGCACACAGAGCTGAAATTCCAAAGCCAGGTGTTTTGTCTTTTTGCATGAGCTCTCGCATGCTGCATTCTCCGTCCTCTAGCTCTTCTGTGCCTCCAAGTCCTCCCAACTTGCGCATGGAATCCCAGAACAACTACCCAACAAAAACCGCTGCATTACCAGAACGCAGTAACGGTAGTGATAGCACTGACAGAAGCGACAGCAACAGTAACCACAGTAGCAAAGCCTTACAGTGCTTTGCCTTGCAGTGCCTTGTAGCCTGGAGCTGCCCGGAACTTTGCATTATTGGCCCTAAGTTGCTCATGCCCGGGGTCTGGGTCGCAATGGCTTTTCGGATAAGATGAGTCCGGAAAGGAAGGCCAAAGCTCGTGGGACCACATCCTGGAATTTGATGATTCGTTGGGCTGAATCCTCCAAACTCTCAGTTTTGGTGAACAGCCAAGCCAAGACGACAACAGGAAGAAAGGCCCTCCAGGGGTTAGCTGCGTTATTGGAAAACTGTTTCCTTAGAACTCCAACGACATCTGGGAACTACTCCTGCAAAGCCTGCTCCGAACACTGCAACTTGGTCGTGAGCTCGTCGTTTGTCGCCTCCAGCCGGACACTAGGCCACGAGGCGACACTCATGATGGCATTGTGCATGGCACTGGACAGACTGACAGCAGGCTTCTGCCCCATGCAAGTTCTGAGAAGCTCGGACTTAAATGCTGCCCATTCTTCAGCTCCAGCAAACCAGAAAAATGTGAAAACTACTTGTGCGGAAGTCTGGAGCAAGTTGCCTGCAGTTTCTCCGCTGCGAGCACAGATTCCCGGAGCTCACTCTCATGACTCTCGACCTGCAGGCCAAACCCAACTTACGCGGCCATTTCTGCGCTGACTGCTTCCGCTGCCTTCTTTCGGGCAGCGACGAGCTGTGCGGCGGCATCGGCAGTTTCGGCCTTTCGCCAGCCAATTACATAAAATACTTCGTGGTCACTGTAACCACATATACATATCTATCCATCTCTCTCTTTCTCTCTCTCTCTCTCTCTCTCTCTCTCTCTCTCTACATTTGTTTCTTTAAGCTGTTTATGTATTTGTACATATAAAAGGTATACCAGCAGCTGCCTCGAGGGTTTGCGATACGGCCGTGAGCTTTTGCTGCTTTACTTCTACCTGATCGCGCAGAATTCCGGGATGACAGCGCGCATGGCGGTACACAAGAAGGGCCTGCGTCTGAAGCTCTTCCACCTGGGACTGCAATGCCGCGTTCGCATCCTTGCAAGCACTACATACTCGACATGATGCACCGGGTTTGTATGACATGCGGCTTTGCCTGCAAGGCCTGTGCTGCTGCAACCACCTGCAGAAGATTGACTAGTCAGCAACATCACACCGAACTTGAACAGACAAGGTTGGGCAAACCCTCACTTGGAAGCAATATGCTCGAATCACGGGGTTTGGGAAGGGCTTCATCCTGGGTATCGAAGCAGCTTCTCGTTTGATCGCAGAAGGTTCCTGACATCAGGCTTTGCAAGGCCAAAACGAGGCAGGATTGGAGTGCCGGTTCCACACCCGTTAGCAAACACAATGCTTCAATGACGGGTTTGGAAGACAGGCACTGCATCACCGCATTTTGACGGCCGCAGCTGGGCCTCTGGAAGCACACTTGCGGAAGCCTGAGATGGCAGGAGGACACCATGTATTCTCCCGAGGCTGAGATGTTGGTGTGAGAGGCATCGGCTTGGCGCGCGGACAAGCTCTGCCGAGAGTTCAGCTGAAAGCTTCAAGTGCCGCTGATATGCCGAAGAGCTACTACTTCTCCACGAAGCGTTTCAATCAACTCCTTGCTTGCCTCCTGCAGCTCGAGAACGCTTGGAACGCATGTGCAAATACCACGAGACAAAGACCTGTCCTTCTCCTGCACGGCCGCCAAAAGCTCACCGCGAAGCTCAGCGAACTGAGCACAGACGTCGTGGTTGCCCACAGTGCTTAGCAGATTATGCAGATTCCAAAACAGCTCGGCGATATGAGATCTCCCAAGCATGCCTATACCACTGCGAACGTCCCAACGACGTCGTTAAGCTTAATGCGGGCCTGCTTAGATGACCTTCGACTGTGGTATTTGTAGCCTGTCTGGTTTTGTCTTGGCTGTTTGTTCCTGCCACAACGGACATCAACCCAGCTGTGCAACCCAACAGCAGAACGCCCGCGATGGTGTTCGGCAGTACGAGACAGGGGCTGTAGTGTGCAGTTGCTACATTCGCAGTGTACTTTGCGATTCACGAAGCTGCACAGGAACAACGATTCACCCTAACTTGTGTAGAGCACCTTTTCGTGAATGATTTCCGGACTTCGTAGATCGGTCATTTGCGCGGCGGGCTATCCTCGACCTTTCAAGGACACCATTGCCTGAATCTTACTTTCCAACTGTTGTTGCCCTGCTTCACAACTCCCGCCATAGTGCCCGCCTCACACTTTATCTCTTCTTTCTTGTGTTGGGCTTCTCGGTGTTGTCAGGTGGCTGTGCGGGCTGTGCTGGTCTGAGACAAATCATTGGCGAGTCAGGCTCCTCCTACATCATGAGGCAACACACTGTTTTGCATGGTAAACATCGTATTTCAACAACTTCACTTCCTGCTGCATCGCAGGTCGTGCGAGCAGCAAGCGTGCGGGTTTTTACCACCAAGAATGTCCGGACTTGGCATTCCCGATCATAGGCGAGGCAAAAGACAACTTCAATTCTGCCCGCAATTGTCTTGGACTGGCTCAGCTTCAGATATCCATGACAGACACTTTGCTTTTTGTTCCCTCGCCTTGGCCTGCAGTTCCATCTTGTCCGCTTCGGCACGTGCAACGGCCGTGGAGCAGATCTGCACACAGAGCTGAAATTCCAAAGCCGGGTGTTTTTGTCTTTTTGCATGAGCTCTCGCATGCTGCATTCTCCGTCCTCTAGCTCTGCCGCGGCGGCTTGCTTCTGCGCCTCCAAGTCCTCCCAACTTGCGCATGGAATCCCAGAACAACTACCCAACAAAAGCCGCTGCATTACGAGAACGCAGTAACGGTAGTGATAGCACTGACAGAAGCGACAGCAACAGTAACCACAGTAGCAAAGCCTTACAGTGCTTTGCCTTGCAGTGCCTTGTAGCCTGGAGCTGCCCGGAACTTTGCATTATTGGCCCTAAGTTGCTCATGCCCGGGGTCTGGGTCGAAATGGTTTTTCGGATAAGATGAGTCCGGAAAGGAAGGCCAAAGCTCGTGGGACCACATCCTGGAAATTTGATGATTCGTTGGGCTGAATCCTCCAAACTCTCAGTTTTGGTGAACAGCCAAGCCAAGACGACAACAGGAAGAAAGGCCCTCCAGGGGTTAGCTGCGTTATTGGAAAACTGTTTCCTTAGAACTCCAACGACATCTGGGAACTACTCCTGCAAAGCCTGCTCCGAACACTGCAACTTGGTCGTGAGCTCGTCGTTTGTCGCCTCCAGCCGGACACTAGGCCACGAGGCGACACTCATGATGGCATTGTGCACGGCGCTGGACAGACTGACAGCAGGCTTCTGCCCCATGCAAGTTCTGGGAAGCTCGGACTTACATGCTGCCCATTCTTCAGCTCCAGCAAACCAAAAAAATGCGAAAACTACTTGTGCAGAAGTCTGGAGCAAGTTGCCTGCAGTTTCTCCGCTGCGAACACAGATTCCCGGAGCTCGCTCTCATGACTCTCGACCTGCAGGCCAAACCCAACTTACCGCGGCCATTTCTGTGCTGACTGCTTCCGCTGCCTTCTTTCGGGCAGCGACGAGCTGTGCGGCGGCATCGGCAATTTCGGCCTTTGGCCAGCCAGTTACATAAAATACTTCGTGGTCACTGCAACCACATATACATATCTATCATCTCTCTCTTTCTCTCTCTCTCTCTCTCTCTCTCTACATTTGTTTCTTTAAACTGCTTATGTATATGTACATATAAAAAGTATACCAGCAGCCGCCTCGAGGGTCTGCGATACGGCCGTGAGCTTTTGCTGCGTTACTTCTACCTGATCGCGCAGAATTCCGGGATGACAGCGCGCATGGCGGTACACAAGAAGGGCCTGCGTCTGAAGCTCTTCCACCTGGGACTGCAATGCCGCGTTCGCATCCTTGCAAGCACTACATACTCGACATGATGCACCGGGTTTGCATGACATGCCGCTTTGCCTGCAAGGCCTGTGCTGCTGCAACCACCTGCAGAAGATTGACTAGTCAGCAACATCACACCGAACTTGAACACACAAGGTTCTCCCAACTGTGGCATGCCTGTTCTTCTGCACAGGCATGCTGCAAGGCCTTCGCCCTGGCGTCCTGTGTGGTATCCGTGACAGGAGGCGAGTGGTATGCCGTTCGACGCTCCATCTTTCGGATTGTTTGAGGGAGCTCCGGCTCTCCTGCAAAGCCTCCTCGGAGCACTGCAACTTGGTCGTGAGCTCATCGTTTGTCGCCTCTGCACAAAGGCTCCGAAGCAGGCCGCTGATTTCTACAAACACAAATCGGACATGTGTCGGTCTCAGCTGTACGATCGCTGCAACAATAGGAAACACCATTGGAACACCATCCAGTTAGACATGGCACCGCACGGGACGCAAGCGCTACATAACTACGTAAGTCCTCATTCGCACCCGGGATCTGGATTGTCGGGGTAAGAACTGCTTGCAGGGCTTCAGCTCACTAGCTGGAAAGGCTCGAGCCTCTGCATTCTCAAGATCGCGGCGAACTTGGTCAGTCTCCGACTGCTGGATCTTCAGCCTGTGCTGCGATCTGACTTTTTTTTGAGGGCCTAACGGCCTAATTGCGTGCTTCAGATGCCAGATCTGATTGTAACATGGCCTGGTGCGTAGATCCGTCCTGTCCTCGGCAACCCTTCGCAAGGCGTGAAGCACCTGCACGTTTTGAATCGCTGTACAGACGAATTGGCAAACACCTCCCATCGCACAGGTGCAAACGGAAAGCTGGGTGGTCACTTCTGACTGCGGTCTCAACAGTGTGCCCGCGTATATATGGCGCTGTCTGTTGCCATACCCGCCATAACCATAACCGTCGTCCTGATTTTTTCGGCTAGTTGAACCTCCGCGACCACTGCTTGTTGGTCCAGTCCTTTCAGCCGTTGAAAGTTGAAATTGCGATTTTTCTAGTGTAGGCTTCTCAGCATGTCACGCCGGCTTCGGTAAGTGTCTCATGCTCCACTATGATGTTGATGATGTTTGCGCTTCCAACAAAATGATGCACACGTTGACCTCAGCAAAAGATATGCTTCGAGGGTCTGCCATATCGGAAAAATACTCCATAAGGCATATGTTGTTTTCTAACTACTGTAAATGCTACAAGGTTGGCAAAAATCTTGGTGCTCACCGTGGGGTCGCACTGCCAAAACTTCCACTGTTTCAACAGTAACTCGTTCCGCCCTGGCGCGGTTGTGTCCAGGCTTGGGTGCCAGAACTATCCGACTATCCTTCCATCCACAAACATGCAAGCGCCTTCCCCGTTGTCCACAGCTTTTGTCGCACAGCCGTGAATCTTTATGTGTTGAGTGCATGCTTCAGTGGATCCTTTTGGCTTCGTTTAGTTTCTATGGCCTTATGGCAGACCTTCCGATTCATCTGGGCCAGAGGTGCAAACAGCAGATGGTCTCTGGCAACATAGCACTTTCTCTGTTCTCCTAGCTGTTAGCAGAGTTGCTGGGAACTGACCTTCTCCATGTCTTCTGACTGCAAGCGTCTGTCGCTTTGACCGCTTGTCACGACAGCAGCTCTCTGTTGCTGCACTACTGTCATGCTTTCATTTTGCAGGTTCGAAAACCTCCGAGTCTGGCTGCTGTCCTACATGCTGCTTGAGCTGCGTCGGCAGATTGCAGACTTGCCTCCTCCTGGACATCCAAGACGGTATTCACGTTGGCCATCTCATCTTCCAAAAGACCCTGGTGCGCGAGCAGTTTCCACGGTCATAGAGTCGGATGAGCACCGTCTCCTGCGTATCGGCGACATGCTCGCGGAAGATAGCCACCACTTCTTCCTCAGGTCCAGGGCAGCAGTCTTGAGTCCAGGCAGTTCCATGAGGTTGAGGCTGAGGCTGCAGAGGATGAGGATGCAGTGGTCTCTGACACATCGTCTCTTCGAGTTTCGACCTCTGTCACAGCTTTGAGCACAGAGAGGGGGGCTTCGCAGAAGGCTCAGCTCATTCAGATGCCGACGTCCTTTTTCGATGCAAGGACCCCTCAAAACAGCAAGAAGATTCGGCAACGTCCGTGCAGTCTGTTCTGGCTTTTCTAGCGGCCCTGCAAGTGGCCTGTGGAGAGGGCCTCTTCGCCGATTGTCGCGTTTAGAACCTCGGCCACATGTGCGCATGCCCCTCGTTTCGATTCGACGCCAGGAAGTCTCTATGGAACCTTTCTCCTGCGAAGCAGCCTCTCTGCACCACAAGCTGGACCAGCCAAGTACTGTAGTTTGAGCCCTCTCCAACCCTGGTGCAGTGACACGGCGAATCGCTGCAGTGTAGTTCAACTGCAGACTCTCGAGACTTTGGAACTTGAGCCCTTCTAGGAGCATCCCAAGAGTCCCAAAAATGACCCCATGCCACACACCCGCTCCGAGACTCCAGACAGCTTCAGCCCTGACCCGTCGGAGCTCTTCGCCCAGTACATGTGACCTGTTGGGCTGAGATGGGCACCCGCTCAACTACGGTTCTTACGCTGCCAGCGAGTGGAAAGGTTCTCAATCATTTCGCTGTCCTATTAGGTGGAGGAGAAAGGTTTTCGGCATTTCGGCTAAACCTTCCGCTCAGGAGAAGCCAGCACATAGAAAACTTGAGAACCACAGGCAGTGCTTAGGTGTGTTTGGAGTGTCGGTACCCACGACCTGTTGTCTTCTATGATGTTCTAGAATGAATGAAGGCACAGGTTTCTAGGCAACTCGATGATGTAAGAGCTCCATGCAATCCTGAGTATCGCCGAGCGTGTCTTTCATCCTTGGCTTCTTGTGTCGCTGCGCGACGCTAATTTTTCGGTGAGGGCCAACACAATCATCGAAGAATATCTCAGAACCGGCAGCTTGAGTGCCAGTCTTGCGGGACGTAATGAAAGAGCTGCGGTTTCTGTGAAAAGAGGCCAGTGGCTGTCGTGATTCTTGGATTGCAATGCCCGCTATGCTGAGCAAAGCTACGGCAGCACGGGTCAACTTTGGGAAGGGGGCCCCTTCACGAAATGAGCGACGAACGAGGCAAGCTCGACTACACGCACAGATCATGATCGTACACCCTTCGGCGCTCCACGACATTTCAACAAACCGCGCAAACTGCGGGCCATCTTTCTCCCTGATCGACACGACCGAATTAATCGGGACTGATGTATCAAGAGTAAGGGGCGCCCAAACTCGCCTTTAGGCCAAAGCCAAATCTGAAAACAGCAACTCCTGCACAAGTTCCGAAGGAGCTAGCTTGCGTGATTTGGAGCATGACATCATGCAAAGATTCCAGGCACTGCTCACTACCCTCGATGGCCCATCTGCGGGCGACAGAACCCAAAGGACTTGCTCTCCTCAGGAATCCTAAAGGCCTTAATTGTGTGTGTCGAAAGCGCCTGAAAGAGAAAGCCTAGAGATCTCATAGCTCATAGTGCACGAGTGCCATAAGAGAACAAACTATTGAGAGAAGGCGAAGAAATCGAGACAGTGACGAGCACCGATCATGGACTAAGTTTCGACACCAACAGCCGTGCTTTGGCACCTCCGCCGCTCCTCCAACAACGCCTGGTGCTGAGTCTCGCTGACCTTTTGCACCGTCCTTGGCAGCAAAAGCTGTGAGAAGCGGAAACAGGACCATAGTCAAAGCTGTCAAGTTGGATCGGC